TATTGACAAAGCCTGAGGCTCTGTGAAACTAGCCCCACCCACACACTACATCCCCATGGCCTGGGATGTGACCTAGTGCAACCCCTTTGTTTTAGTTGGTCCATGCTCACTCCCAATCCATGTGCTGGGCAGGGGAAGTTGGATCTTTCAGGTCATAAAATCCACTGTTCCTCAGGGTGTTCAAGCATCCAGGCAAAGACAGCAAGTGACAACTTTCATTTTCCTTCAGAGATGAATCCTCTCCTGCTCTATTGAGGGAGGGATGGAGTTGGAGGCCTCTGATCTCTAGGGATGTGGATATAAAAAGCTTTGTCGGTCTCTCATATGAACACCTCCACCCCACTTGCTAGTAGCTTTCAGAGTCTAAGTGATAGAGAAGGAGGAAGAAGAGGAGGAAAAGGAGAAGGAGCTGGGGGAAAGGAAGAAACAGGACTGCCCTCCCTGGCTGTGTCAAACAATGAAATCTCTTCCTTAGGAGATTCCTGGGATCTGCAGAAGGTCTTCTCTGTGGTTCTCCCTTGAGCATCCTTCATTTGCACCTCCATACAGGTCAATAATCTGGGCTCCATCTTTGCTCTCCCTAAACTCAGCATCCCTTCCAACTTCCTGCTGAGAGCCCCTTGTTCCTCCAGGAGGCACCCCAAGAGCCCAAAAAGATACCACAGTGGCTGGCTCAGCCATGCTCTGCAGGAAGTCTGTGGGAGGCACTCACAGGGCCAGTCCCAGTGAGACCCTTCTACAGGAACAGAGCCATGGGACTCTCAGCTCTGAATGGCTCTAAGAATGAGGGCTGTGGGACCAGAAAGCCCATGGGAGTACAGCTTTCAGCAAACAGCTTTGACCTTTCCTTGCTTGCTTTTCTATTGCTGTGATAAAAACATGTCACGACCAAGACAAGCTTGTAATTGAAAGTGTTCATTTACATTGTATAGGCTTAGCATCCATGACCTCCACAATGAGTATAGCCTCAGACAGATAGGGATAGAGCAGCAGCAATAGCTGAAAGGCAGACAAAGAGAACTACCTGGGCATGGCACTCATCTTTTAAAACCTCAAAGCCTGCTGCTGCTGACACACCTTCTCCAACAAGGCCACACCTCCTAATCCTTCTCAAACAGTTCCACCACTAGAGACCAAGTATTCAAACACGAGAACCAATGGAGGACCATTCTCAAGCAAACCACCACAGCTCCTGTTCCCCACACTCACTCAAGTATTGTTTTCTGATTCTTGTTTCTTCTGTTTTTCGTTTTGTTTAGAGATAGGGTCTCCCAATGCACCCGGGGCTAGCCTGAAGCTATGTAGACCAGGCTGACCTTGAACTCCCAGAGATCTGCCAGCCTCTGCCTCTCAAACATCCATGTTGCTGCTTCTTCCTTTTTCTTCTAATTACATTTTTTATGTATCTGGAGAGAGGTGTGCACTGAGATGTGCACGTGGAGCTCAGAGGATGACTTGGGGGAGTCGGTTCTCTCCTTCTTTGTTGTAGGTCATGGGGAACAACTCAAGTCGTCAGGCTCAGAAGCAGCAATCTTTACCTGCTAAGCCATCTCACCACACACACACACACACACACAAACACACCCCTTTTATGTGTGTTTGTGTGTAAACAGATGTACATGAGGGTGGATGGCAGAGGTCAACCTTGGGTCTCATCCACAAGAATAATTTCTACTTTTCTTTTTTTTTAAAGATTTATTTATTGTACACTGTAGCTGTCTTCAGACACACCAGAAGAGGGCATCAGATCCCATTACAGATGGTTGTAAGTCACCTTGTGGTTGCTGGGAATTGAACTCAGGACCTCTGGAAAAGCAGTCAGTGGTCTTAACTGCTGAGCCATCTCTCCAGTCCCCTACCTTGTCTTTTGAGACAGTGTCTTTTGTTTTTTGTTTTTTTTTTTACAATAGGCCCTGGGGCTCACCAGTTAGCTTAAGCTGATTGGCAAGCCCTCTAGGAGTCTCTACCTCCCCCCAACTGGGTTTACAAGGTGTGTCATCTTTGGTTTTGTTTGTTTGTTTTGTCTCATCTACACATAGGTCCTCCTGTTTGCTGACTGAGTTCTCTCCCCAGCCTCTTACTTTTTGTTTTTGACACAGGGTCGGTCTTTTCTTGGCCCATGAGCCCCAGGGAAGAACTGGGATTACAAATATGTGCCCCATGCCCAGCTTTTTTAAGTATAGGCTCAGGGGATTGAGCTTGGTCTTCATGCTCCTGTGGAAAGTACTTTATGAACCAAACTATCTCCCCAGCTCTCCTACACTGGGGCCTCAGTCCAACCTCTATAATCTCTTACATGGAACCTAGAATGCTCAGGGTCCAGTCTCAGGCCCCAAAGCTACAGTGGTGAGTGACCTGCCTGCTCATTCACCAGTGTGGACCTTCTGTTATGTGCACCCCACAGGTGTAGGTGTTTGACAACTTGGAAGATGAGGGCAGTTGTGGAATCTTTAGGACATAGGACCTACCTGTAGCCCAGCCTTACCTTCAGCTCTAGTCTATATGTATGTCTATATGTATATGTAGTCTATATGTATATGTGCATTGGTGTTTTGCCTACATATACATATACATATACATATACATATACATATACATATACAT